CCAAAAAGGGCGGAGATCCAGGTGGATTGCATTGCACTCATTGCACTGATTATGTGCAGTATTTTTGCAGTATTTTTTGATGCAACTTTTCTACTTCTGTTATTTGCTGTTGTTTCTTAAAAACAAAATGCATAATGATATTACAGCTTTCATTGATTTATTTCAAACTTGAAACTTTGTTTAGCCTGTAAGGTGTAAAAAAAAAATAAAATAGATTAACCTATTAATCGAATCGAATCATATCGTGGTGTATTCTTGAGTATCAAAAAATAATCAAATCGTTGGGTCAGGAAATCGATACTGAATCGAATCGCCATGATGGATGTGATTTACACCCCTAGTCTCCACTATACCTTTAAAAATACCGTATATGTCAGACACCCATATACATTCTGTCTGTTAATCATGAACTTTGCCTGTTGATTATTGTAGTAACTGCATATTCTATCAATTATTCCCGTCATCACCCAGGTACAGTAAACTGGATGATCTCAACATTTTATTTCATGAGTAATAGAAATAAGTGAAAAAGCCAATACATAAAATATAATATTCCTTTTTTTTTTTAAATGGAACATGTCAACCCTTTTTGTTTGACCTGTTTCTAGTCATGTCATGATTCCACAGACATGAAGATGTAGAAATACTTTGCGTTTTGCATGAGCCCTGTCATTTCTATGACATGTATAATACAGAAATGTAATTATAACAAACTGATAGCAGCGGGTTAATTAAATCGGTTTACCATCATCAGCTGGTTTACAGATATTTTAACAGTTTTGAAACAGGTTTACATTAAAAAGAAAGTTGTTATTAAAGTTTTTCCAGTTTAAATTTTTCAGAAAATGTCAAAGAAAGCCAGATGGATTTTCCTTACAACCAGCTGACAATCAACATGCAACAGGAAGGGCAGTGCCCAGCCCAAAGCAGGTACACCAAAAACTGCATACCCTCTCTAAACTGTACCAATATGGCACTTCATTTCAAGGACATTAGACCAAAGAAACAATATGAACTTAGTTTTGTTTGATTTGTACCACTCTAACTCAACTCTAACATTCAGATTTTGGTATAACTTTGCACCACTGACCTCTCCACGCCACACATCAAGTTAGATAGGTCATGTTCTGTTTTTAAATTCTGCTCTTGTTTGCTGCTCTGCTGTACAGAGTCACTGTACCTATAATGTACAGTATGGCAGCTTCCAGCATTATCCCTGTATCTCCGGAGACCGCCGAACCGGGGACGTCACCTCAATTTGTCGCAGCATCTTTCTGAAACAGCTACCGCAAACTGGTGGTGTTAGTGCACTGCTCCACCTTCGCTGACCTATTTAGGAGTTCCCTTTTGCAAACACCTTCCTAAAACTGTCATGACGACGCACGAACCCACAGATATACACACACGTACCCATTTATCTTTTCACGCTCCGATCATCAACTATTCCTGACACATTCTATTCATCTCTCCTCTCATTGTTCACTCTCTACCTCCCCGTGTCGCTCCTCTCTGTATCACAGACTACACCCATCCATCTTGTACCCTCGCTTTCTGCCGTTCTACTGCTCATCCCTCTCTATCTCTTCCTTTTCTATCTATCTATCTATTCTTTTCTGTGTCTGTCTGCCAGGTCCTTTATTGAGCTTTAATTGGCTCCCTGGAGAAAGAGGAAACATTGTCTTCTGATTACACACAAACACACTTATGGTGGGAAGATAGGCAATTATCTTATTGTTACTCTCATTTGCATAGATGGGCATACAGATACAGAGAAGTATATTTAAAATGAAAAGTTGCTCTGGCTTTCTTGGGATGCTTTCCATGCCATTCTGTGTGTATATAAACAAGAAGCTTACTCGTCACATTGATCTTCTGCTCCAAGCGGTGCTCTTCAGATGGTCTTTTTCACTATGGATGCAAGTGTGTGGAGGTGTAAAGGATTTGAACATCCTCCGGGACATTCTAGGGCCAGACAAAGCAGCCAACTTCCACAAACCTATCAACCGGCACATTTAATCTTTGGCTGCATTGATGTTACTATGTTACTATTTTATTTTATTTTTTTAATGGATTAAACCAAGGAAGCATATTGTAGAAGTCACACATTCAGGCACAAGTTGCAGAAACGCAGTCCCAAAAGGAAATGGAGTAAAAAGGAGCAGAGAGGAGACATATGGGCAGTCAGACGGAGGCCCATTGGAATCGAGGAAATCCAGCAGTGACAGTGTTAAAACCACCTAGTGAGGAGAAGGCCAGATCCATGCTGGCAGGAATACACACAAACATCCAGACAAACTAAAAAACCCTGCATCTTTGGGAAACCGCATCATCATGAAAGTTAAAAATTCCCCATAAACGTAAACAACTGTCTAAAATATGTAACATATTCTTGAATGTATACATACACACACGCACACATAGTGGCCCAGGGTGAAATCCACACAGTGGCCCCTGGCATATGCCACTAGGCAGTGGTCACAGTGGCACATATGCTGCAAAAAATCTCACCACAAATGTGAACACACGCACACACTAGAAGGGCTGTTGACCTCGGGGGTCAAGGTTATGGCGGTTTGCAGCCAACAGGGCTGAATCCTGCTGATGCCCTTGGCGGCAAGGGGACCGGCTCTTCTGATTAGCAAGCAGATTCACACACAGCAAATCTCACTCCAAATTATAAAAAATCCACCATAAAAAAATCCCAAATAAATCAACTTGATTCTGTAAAGACATAAAAAAACATTGTCCACTCTGGTAAAAGTGGACGTTTAGTCAAGCAGATAATTTTTCTAAGAAATATTTATGTCTAAAGACTAAAATTCAGGCTATTTATTTCTTTTTCTCTGGTTTTCCCAAACCAGACATTTCAGTAATAATAGTATACAGTGCATAGCAACATTTCTTTTTCAATAGTATTGTATGTTACAGGTCACATTTTTCTTTTGGATTTCAAGTAGTAGAGCAACAAAAAGCGGAAAGATCTTGGCGATTACAGATCCTAAAAATGAATGGATTCATCCTCCATTACTGCATTAACCCTACTACTATGCTATTTAACTATTAACACAAAGAAAAAAAGACATGTCAGGATAAGAATCTGACATTTATATCAGTGTTAGTTATATCTTAAAACTACAAAAAATATCATGAGCTCTATACATATGTGAAAAGCCATGGCAAAACCATGGGAAATTCTAACCGGGCTCGTTTTGAATTATTGTTATTGATGGCAAAGGTGTGGAAATCAAAATGAAGCTACATTGTGAACAAAGTTACATTCTTGGGTAAAAGCTTTGAACATCCCTCCATTTTCTATGGTTTACTGCAGGTGAAAGTGGATTGGTTGAGCTAGGACAAAAAAATGACGACCGATGGGGGCAAAGATTGTGATTACATTTTCCTTTATTTTTTTTCTATTTTCTTTCTATAACCCAAATAAACTTCGACAATGTTTTTAGGCAAGATCGTAACTTTGTTGAACTATAAAGATTTAATTCTTCTCAATTCAGTTTATTTATATAGTGGCAATTCACAACACATGTCATCTCAAAGCACTTTACAGTTCAACCAGATCATACAGTCAAATTGTTTCAAAGTTTTCTATCAAAGGAAAACCAGTTGATTGCATCGACTCAGTGACTCGAATGCAATCCCTCACACTAAGCATGCTTGTAGCGACAGTGGAGAGGAAAAATTCCCTTTTAACAGGAAGAAACCTCCAGCAGAACCAGGCTGAATTTAACTGAATTTAAAAAAAGAGCTAATTTGTTTCCTAAGGCTAAGACCTAATGGGTTTATAACTACTGTAAGAGATGACATTTATTTTCTAATATAGAAGGATGTGACTCATGTCTTCTCAGTAAATATATTTTATAGAGGTGTTATTGACATGACATGTTCACCCGATGCCAGTAGCAATCCATGCAATCCACACACAAAAAAATTAAACCATAGATGTCCAGAAATTACGTTATGTGTAATAATGTGGAATAGCAAAGGGAAAAAAGTATTGAACATGTGAAGAAAGGGAGGTGCGAAAAGGAATGGAAAGCCAAGACGCCAGCCGAAATCTTTCAGTAATTAGAAAGCTATCCTGCCCCTTGTCAGTGCAAATTAATATCAACTGGTTCAATCCCAAATCTCTCTTGTATCACAAGACACATCTCATAAAGGGTAAAAGCAAATAGCTTTCTCAAGACCTCTGCAACCTTATTGTTGCAACTCATAATGATGACAATGGTCACAGGAGACTTTCTAAACTTCTGAATGTTCCAGTGAACACTGATGGGGCCATAATCTGGAAGTGGAAAGAACATAACTTCAACATAAACCAACCAAGACCGGGTGCTCCTCACAAGATTACCGATTAAGATTGCTGAAGAAAAACCATGTTGAAGCTTTAGATAAGCCTGTGAAATACTGGGAGAATAAAGTCTGGTCACATGAGACCAAAATTTAACTCTTTGGATGCCATAACACACATTATGTTTGGGGGTCAAATGGCACTGACCCCACTCCCAAACACCATACCAACAAAGGTTGGAGGGGGGAACATCATGGGGTGGGGCTGTGTTTCTGCCTATGGTAATGGCAGACCTCAAATAATTAAAGGAAGGATACCGGTAATTGGAAAAATGTACAGACATTCTTGATAAAGATCAGCTGCCATCTACCAGTATGATGAAGATGAAACGTGGGTGGACATTTCAGTAAGACAATGACCCCAAACACAGCCAAGGAAACTCTCAATGGGTTTCAGGGAAAGAAAATAAAGCTGCTAGAATGGCCCAGCTATGGAAAGAACTAAAGATCAGAGTTCATTGAAGAGGTCCACAAAACTTTCAAGATTTAAAGATTGTCTGTGTGGAAGAATGGGCCAAAATCACACCTGAGCAAAGTATGTGACTAATTTCTTCATACAGGAGGCGCCTTGAAGCAGTCATTACCAACAAAGGCTTTTGGACAAAGTATTAAAAAAAATTCAGTAAGTGTATTCAATATTTTTTCCATTTTTCATTTCATTTATTACACATAACTTAATTTTTGGACATCTATGGTTTGATTTATTTGTATAAGTGGATTGCATGGATTGTTCCCAACGATGCAAGTTATCTGAAAAAATGTTAAGAGCACTGTTTCAAACCACTAAGAAATGGCTATTTACCTAAAATGAGAGCAACAAGAACTGTTAGCACAGAAAAGCAGATGAAAGGTCGAGTGTAAATAGCTGATCAGAAGCTGATCACCTTACAAATCTGTACCTCAGTAAAGAGTGGTAAGATTACTTGGCAGCCTTTGAAATAGGCCATGTAGAGGATGGCAAACAAGGCTCTCTGTTAGATGAGAATAAAATGAGACTCTTTCCTTGCATGTTAAACAATAGGTGCTGCAGAAAAAGCCTTAACACAGAGTCCTGCAGGGATGCTTTTCTTTAAGCAGGACAGCACAGCTGTCCACTGAGACAAATGGGAACACATTTCAGCCTATAGCTGAGTTATGCTGGTAAAGATACTAAATGCTCCAAAGGATGCACAGATGTTAATGCACGGAGCCAGAGCTCTACAAAGTCTTAAGTAAGGTCAGGTGAATGCATGCACGCACCACACTTTTTAAAAACATATATTTTCCTGCTTCCCTTTCTCAAACATAAAGTACTGAAAAGGTGAGAAGATTTAGAATTGAGGAAATTTCTAACAATGCCTTTTAACATTACTATCACGAAAGAGAAAATTAGCAAAAAATATATAAATCTATACATTTTATTTTTTTGGCACAGTTAAAAATTTCTATTTATATTACTAACAGGGTGCTACAGACAGGATATAATGTTCTGCACAAGGGACAGCCATAAAACTCTGTGTTTTCCTAAAATACAATACAATACATCAAAAAATAGCTAAGCACTCTTTGAACCACAAAATGCACAATAATCAAAGCATTTATACAGTTCCTGGATATTTTAAGGTATTTTTTTTTTAAAGCGCTACTCCTCCTAATAGCCAATATAATTGTAGTTTCCTAAGCTTGTGTTTTTCATTGCATGAAATAGTTGAAAAAGTAAAGGGTAAATAAAGAAACATGAAGAAAGCTATGCTAAATAAGTCAAGACATTCTTTTTGTACACAATGCTGCTCTGTCTTCCAACATCTCCGTTTAGTGATTGACATTCGGGACGACGCCCGTGTCCACTCTCTCGTCTTGCATGTCAACAGGGGCCTGTATGTTTATTTGGGTGTGTGTGTACTTCTGTGCGTAAGTGAGGGTGTATATGCATGGTGTGCATTAAACGTCAGTCACCCAGCCTCTGCTAAATGTTAAATGCTTCAGGGCTCACAGAAATAGACAGATAGCATTCTATTGACCTGTCAAAAATCACAAAAGAGGCTGAGAGGCCCAGTGTTTGAATTTTCTGTGCATGACTACGCTGTGACGAAAGCGGACAGTTATATATAAATTATCTTTCTGAATTTTCTTTGTTTGTGCCAACCTTTTGTGTAGGTGTCACAAATGCTTTGTTGCTAATTCTGCATTACAAAAAGATTACTGAGCAGAGCTTCAAACCACCCTGTAGGTTTGAAACTGAGTTTATAATTGTGATTACTGAGCTTTTAAATATTTTGCAACTCAACTCGAAATAATAGGAAAAAGTGAAGAAGAGGTGTCTAGAGCTGGTATATAAATGTTGAGCCCGGATGGTTTGGATACCTCTATATTACTGCACATTAGAAATCTTTCAATGGGAGGGTTTTATCTTATTAAGGATTTTTCTTATCTGAATATATCTACATTTCTATTTCTGATTAAATGTTGGCTTTAAGTCACTTCTTCTGTAAACTCTTCTCAGGCTCCTCATCTAAAGTCTGAATTCTTATTTTCTGCTCGACAAGACAATAAAAGAGGCGGAAAAGCAGTCAATTTCCGTAACATTTTCACCTGCACTAAATGTACTATATCTAAACCTTTGAATATTTGGATCTGGTTAATAAAACTTGATAACCATTTCTTTCGTAGACCTCCAAAAGCTAATTTCTCATTTTCTCTCTGAGTCTTACAAATTATTGCCTATTACTCTTGTCAAATTGTATTTCAATGCGTGTTTGTAATATAAATGACTGCTTAGAGATTCTGAAACAGCTGCAGATTTCATGAATATTTTTTCAACAAGTTTACATGTTGCTCATTATTAAGATCTACCCACATTCCTATATGGTATTTTACAGCTAAAATGTTTATAAACTTCATTATTTCTGGAATTTACTGCCATGTCACAGGTTTCAGAATTTATTTGAGCTTCTTTGCACGTCAGGTGATGTTTTTTGGACCCTTTTCATTTACCATGACCATGGAGAAGAAATAAAAAATAAAATAAAGGTCAGACCCAATCAGGGCAGAAATGAGAGAGATTTAGTGAGATGAGAGGTTAAAAAATAAAACAGATGAGAAAGAAAAGACTTATTATTCTGTTTGTGAGGACCTTAAATGTCATTTATCTAATGAAAACAGTTTCTCTACCTGAGATTGAGCCCAGCAGCACGGTGCTCTTGATGCAGCGATACACGTAGTCGTAGCTCTGAGGTTTGAGTGGAGATCCAGTGGACAGGATGGTGTGTAGAGACTGAAGGTTGTGTGTTTCCGCTGGGAGAGAGAAGGAGGTTAAACAGAAAGTCAGACAACATAACAAAAGTCTCCAAAATAACAGACTCTTTGAAATAAACTTTAGATTTGAATAAGGTTTCTGAGTTTAACAGGATTCTGCTAAAAAAAAAACATTTAGTTGCAAGGTTCAGAAATGGGCAAAACTTTTAAATAACACTTTATTTCCTTTGTACTTTTTTTCCAAAGATTCATACTTTTTTGTAACCTTTTAGAGCAGAGTTGATCAATAGATAGATACATTTCTAAAGGTCTTCTATAACTTTTTGAATTATCCTTCCACTCAGCCTTTGTACCTGCATTGTGCAGCATATACTCTGCCTCTCATTTTGCTGTTGATAAAGTGAAGTTTCTCCACTGTTTAAGAAAGTGTTCCATTGTATTGTATTCTATTAAAAAGTTAAGCAGACATCTGGGACATCAAGTACAAAAGAATGCACATGATGTCCAGGAGGAAAGAATTCGGAAATTTGCTGCAAATTCAGCTGTATGAAATCAGCCCAGTTTGCATGGGAATGACCGTAGCTGCATGTGGATTTCCCAGCCCTTTAATACCTAAACAAAACAGTTTAAAAACCGGGAAGGTACACACCAAGAGTCCAAATAACCATGGCAATGGTGCTGTTTGGCTAGACCTTAACAACACATCTAAGGAATATTTGTTACAGCCAAAAAACTTTGAGTAACATCAATGAGCAGGCATTTAGAGAGGAATATTACATAGGTTGTATACCTAAGTGTATCACATCTTTAGGCTTTGTATGGCATAAGGGGTTCCTGGGGTATCCTACCCTGGAAAATATTGAAATTTAGACTCTCTGAAATGCTATTTCCTGCCTTTTGAGGTGGAATGCGGCTAACTTTTTTTCTTGGTTACAACACTTCTATTGTCCTGATTATGGGAAGTATGTGCACTTGACTAGAGGTGAAAATTTCATAAGGAAGACATGAGATCATTTTTAGGTACATTATGTTTCATAGGTTGATAAAAAAAAAAATAATAATCAGAAAGTGTAATGCTACGTTCATGCCACGATTTGAGCCGCAAAAAAGCACCTGCTGCTTCATTTTTAGGCTTGTACACATTAAGGTCAGACGTAGCATCTTTGAGGCTCCTGAAGCGCGTCCAGTAAAATGTGAACAGATAGGTCTGATGTTTCTGCAGCTCCTGCTTTCAATGGCAGAGAGAGGCCTTGCTATATTTGCTGTCAAGTCGGTGAATAAGTAGGTTTTAATATTTAAATTTTAAGTGAGAAAGTCCACCTCAAAACATTGTCTGTGCAGTCAGTTTATTAAGACTTGGGCTCAGATCCCCCACATACCGGCAGGGGGAAAATTAGGGCGTACCAAAGCTTTACATTCCTAAAACAAGGCGTACAATTTGTCATTTTATTAAAGAGCGTCCATACGCATTGCTAGCCTGTCAGCGACTCACTAAAAAAATTGTCTGGAAATAAAATCATAGACATAATAGAAGCTGAAAATATTTTTTTCTGCATTTATGATTTATATAATTCAGCTGTGTCTAACTGCAGCATTGAGCTCAGTTAAATCCATAACAACCATATCATTATAAATTACATGCATATTACCCCCATATTTCTACTAGGAATATGTCACCATACACACAATGTGAAGTAGAGTTAATGTTTAAAACCAGTCAGGGTGTCCCATAAAAACAAAGTAACAAAACAGAATACAGCCATCATGCATGGAGCCTGCTTGAAGTCTGTTCTGTGACACATTTCAGGGGCACAGCTATTGGAATGTGTTCTATTCATGAGAGCAAATTCATTCACAGATGGTGTTCTTACAGCAGTATGATTACAGCCATAGCTCTGATTAGATTGGGAGCCGGCTCCTCATGTCATATTGCAATTTGATGTGTATCTATTCAGGCGTTGTTTAGGGAATCCATACCAATGAGGCTATTCCATATGGCTGCATAGAAGGGCTAAGGGATGACTGTGAAATATCGGACCTGCCAATCAGCTCCCTAAAACACTACGGCTGCAAAGAGCTGAGCACTTTAAGAACTTGAACCAGCACCCAGTGAGACAGAGGCTACGCTCATACTGCATCCTGAAGTGATGAGATTCAGTTGCAGCATTAAGATTTACCTCCTAAAAGCTGAAACATCAGGTTTAATGATCCTTTGATGTAAGAAAAACACTAAATCAATTCATTTTCAGTGTATTTAGGTGAGTTTTGTTATTCTATAGTATTCTATTTTCAGATTAAAGAGGTTTGGGTTGCTACCTCACATTTTCACAGCATGTCAAAAGTTGACATGAATTACTGCACATTCTGATGCCAAGTTGTGTGTAAAATAGTTACATTTTTTGTGTGCACAAACGTGCTTTGTACTTTGGGTCCCTGAAAGACAATGACAAAAGAGGTGAGACCTAAAAAAAATAATAATGTATCTACATCAGATAGAAAAATCTTAGGTTCTTGACTGTGTCGGAAGGCTGACCTGAGAAATGCATCCCACTTCAGTCGAGGTTCTACTAAAGTTCAGTTATTTGGAAATCTTGTTGGAGATAAAACAATTGAACTGAAATGAAAATCTCTGTTTTTGCAGCTTTGCAGGCTTTGGTATTTATATAAATCTACCGAGTAACAAATTATTGAATCACAAATTTAGCTACAGAACCTAAACCCAACTACTAAAAGCATTTATACTTGTAAATCAAATCCAGGGAGAAAGAAAATCCTGATTCCATTGTTTTGACTATGATCAAACGCCAAAGAAAATATATCAGCAACTAAAAAAGGACAAACTGCATTTATAAGATAATACTACAAATAATACTACATTTCTGAAATACGCAAGTAAGGTTCTTACACCTTGTTAAGACCTGCTAACAATTAATTTATGCATTAAATCCTGGAATTTCCATCATTGAAAATATTCTCAAGCTAAAACAGAAAACACTGAAAAACAGTTATACACACAACAACTTTGCTCTAAATGGTCTAAAATCCAAACAGGTTTATGACAGATGCCAAATTCAATAAAAATGTCACTACAGCTTTTGTCTGTGTGCTGGTATTCCTGTATTCCTACAGGCAGCTCCATCAATTTGGTGAAAGATGGAAGGATTGGAAAGAAACGATTGTTCCATTAACATTTAAAAGCAGACTCTCCCACATGATTTTTTTATTATGTCTCATTTTCAAGAAAGCAGAACATTAACAAGGTGTGTGAACACAAGAATGCAAAAAAGCTGGATGAAAGTTGCTTAATTGCATTATTAATTAAGGAATAAATTAGATTAAATACTTTGAAATATTATATTTATCTTTTCTGCAAAAAGTTGCAATTTGTTTCTAACAAAGGGATTTATGTCTACTGAAAATGTGGGATCTCAACACCTGTTTTGATGAATGATTTCACGTTTTCATTATTGTATAGACTCTCTTGATGCATTTAACATCAGTTACCACCTTTTCCTGAAATAACTCTTTGCTTTGTCCTGCTATCACTGCTAAAATGCACTTATCACAGTAGCAGCTGTATCAAAACCCAGATACAGTTGCAGGCAGCAATAATTTCAACCAAATTAGAAATTGACACACAAAAAAGCAGGCAAGCACCTGTGAACAGCTGTGGCTGCTGGCACCCTAACATGTTGTGTTATTGCAGTTTGCCACCCTGCTGTGACAAAGCCTACAACCCCCCATTTACTGTAACACACATACACACACACCCCCACACACTTTAGGTGTCACTCCAGAGATCTATGCACATGCTCCATGTCACCCACAGATGCCCAAACCACATGCCAATAACACCCTGTGAACCGAGAGGCTTCCAGCAACCGACCCTCACCCTGGAAGCGCGCATACACACACAGACGCAGTAGGAACTGCTGCAACCCCCCACCATGCCTCCAGGTGTCCAGCCCAATCCAGTCCAAATGTCAGCACTGAAAAAAAGGGCTTCTCCACTGGGGCAGTCAGGGAAGAAGCTTCCTCTATCCTTCACAGCCCGATCCAGCCATGCTTGCAAACACACACAATTTCTTAAAAGCACACAGCTAGAAACATCTCCTTTAGCCTCCCTAACAATGACAGATGGATGGGGTGGTATATAGAGGGGCAGGTGACAAAAAAAAAACAACAACAAAAAAACAGATAAGAAAATGGACTGATGTCTTGAGACTTTTACACTAAAGAGCAGTTCTGCTGCTCGTGACAAGAACTGATGCTCCCTGTGTTGTACTTCGATTTTCTTTGCTGGACTGAAGTGAAGGGAGACATTTTATTTACCCCCAATTATAGGCTGGGTCTCATTGATCAAAGAAAAACAAAGTAAAGGTCAGTAGCTCATGAATTTATTTCATTTACTAAACTAACTTATGTTGAATATACAGAAAAACATGAGCGTTAAACATCTGTATTTAAATGTTTATGCATTTAGCAGGATGGAAGGAGCTACGCTTGGCTTTCCAATGAAAATCTATAAGTAATAGCTGATATTAGCACTCCTGCTATCAGGAATAAAGTTTTTGTATCAAGTTAAAGGGGAGATTGTGAATGCAATATAATAGTAGTCATCAACTAAATTACTGGTTTTATTAAAACACAGAGGAAATATTCTGTTTAATGAGCTCATAATCTTCTGTTGTTCTTTTAGATGTAAAACCTCCATGTTTTGGGAGGAATACATCCTACTCCTCATTAAAAGTGTTTCTTTTTTTGATTAGTACTACCATAAAACTGGTATTTTAGTGCTCAGGTTTGTGTTTGTAGTAATTCATTTAGTCCTGTAGGATTTTGTTTGACGACCGAAAACATGTAGCATTTTCCTGTGAAGTAGGGTTCTCAACATAATAACATTTCTAATTTAATATCGATATCCAGGAAATTATTCGATACAACTTACCTTTTCTAATCTCACAATCATTTCTCAACAGAATCATAGAAGGTAGCTATATACATGTGTAAAATAACCCAAAAGTCTCAAATTAATAACAGCAAAAATAGGCAGACAACACTTTAGTATCATTAGGATCAATAAAAAGCCAAATTAGTATTGTATCCAGATACAGCGTTTGAGTATTGATATTTTTGACAACCATATTGGGAAGTGAGGTTTCTTCCTTTTAAGAAATTTAAAAATGTAATAGAAATCACCTGCATTGTTATAAAGTCTCCTCTGTCTGCAATTACACTGCTCCCTGTTAAAAAAAACAGCTCAGCTTCAGTAGGACTGGATTACAGGGTCTCAGAGGCATTACCATGTTTCAAACTAGATTTAGATTTCAACTTGGGTTCATTCTAAAACATGAACTAACTAGTTACTTGTCACATTTTTCAAAAACAAACTGAATTAGTAGCTTGGGTACTGCAAAATTAAATAGTTACTTGCAACGTAACCATGTAGTTACTTTTTATGAACTAAAAATCCATCATTTGTATGACCTTCCTGATGTGGCTGAAGTCTTTGTTGGCAGATATAATGAGCAAATGACAGGAACAGTTAACCTTTGACCTGAAAAAACGCTAACCATATTCAATTCCAACAAGATACGTTGGAGTGTGTGGTTTTAATGAATGGCGAACTGCTTTAGTCCAACTGTTTTTAATGTTCTTTTTTGTTTCTGCATTTTTTATTCATTTTTTTCCCTACTTGATTTGTTTCTGTTTTTTTTTCCTATATGTTAATCATGTAAAGCACTTTGCATTGTCTTTGTACTGAATTGTGCTTTACAAATAAATTTGCCTTGCCTTTGGTAGACAAAAATCTGAATTTTTATGTTTATTTTCAGCTGCGTTTACAAGATCAAGTGACGTTAGGGGTAAAAACATTGCTCATTTTAGCAATCCAGATCTAATTTTCCAACAGTGCATTTTTCTGAGAAGCTCTTTGTTATATCCGATTTTACCCTTGAATGTTTTTGTATGTATGTGTGTGTTTGTTGTGAACTCTACCACAACTCACAAGGTCTGAGGTTCTTCTCCTGCAGCACAGACAGCCATTTAGCCCCAGTGCCAAAGATAGTGATTCTAGAAATGAGAAAAAATGAACAGACATTAATTTTTATGGGGGGGGGGGATTAAATTAGTGGAAAATTCATCAATAAGTAAATTACAGTATAAGGTGAACACATTTGTGCCAGATCAAAAAAGTGCATTCGCCACAACTCAGACACAATCTAAACCTTATGTTAAGCTTCATTTAAACAAACACACAGTTGTTGTTGTTTTTTTGTTTTTGTTTTTTTAAATGAATAGATCTTAAAATTGCTCATCTCTGATGAAAACTCTTTGGTTACTAAAGGTTTGGTTGTACAAGGACTTCCTCTTTGTTCACCTCACTCCATGGTACTCTGTACAAAGAGCCTGGATCACTCAATGTTTATGTCGTATAATGGATAATATGAAACAAAATTACAATGATGTTATAAAAAGGTTGAATCTATGATTTTAGATCACGCTCCCCTCCCTTCCTTCATCTCTACCTCCAGTTGAACCCAATCACTACTGCCACTCACATCTTTGTGTTATCGTTATCCATTCTATCTAATTCTCTCTTATTTCAGTAACGAAGTTACTTCACCTAAAAATTAAAGCAGATCAATACTATAATTCAGTTATTCAAAGCACCTTTTCATGAGCTGCTTCCTGTTTTTAACACGGCAGGAGAGCAGGGGATGCTGAGGCAGAGGTATTTTAGATGCTGATTGGCTGAGGAAGAGTCAGGTGGGCTGGCGTTCACCATGTGTTAGGCACACAGGTCGAGACCAATACCCCAAGAGATGGAGGCTGATGGCAGCCAGCCCAGTAAAGGTAATGATAGCGTTACTAAACTGAAAGCATAGACACCAAGTCAAAGACAAAATGTTAGCAGTGATGTGCACATTATCTGACAACAGAAACTGTTCCAAGCAATTTTAATATAATGAAGCACCCCGCATCCTTTCACTTTTCCACTACACTGACAAATGAATGACTCCGTTTTCCAAACCACTGCACTTTACTTCTTCAGGGTTATTGAAATCACTTGCAGGGTTTATAGTTATCGTTTACTTTACAAAGACAAAAATACTGTTCTGATTGTTCTCTGTAACCACTGTTTGATTCCAGAATTAAGATATAGATAACATGGCAAGTCACACATTGAACCCCTTCACTCCCCCCTGAAACCCTATACCCTTATATACATATTTGCATATATATCTGTATACATGTGCATAAACACATTCACCACCAGACACACATGTATGCCTATACACACCTATATAAAAACAATGATAAGTATATAAAATAAAAAAATAAAAAATAAAAAAAATCAATAAATAAACTTGTAGCAAGTCAATCAAGACTTCTAAAGCATACGATTACCGGTAAATAAAATAAAATCCAATAAGGTAAATAAATGATTCTATATAATAAGTCCAAAGGTAGTATCCTAAATACATATTGTTCATCAGCACTTATGTTTTATTATGGTTCAACCATTTAATAGTCTATACCTGCTGTATTTAAATGCTCATTTAGACCACCCCGTATTCTGTCAAATTTGTCTGGTCTTTGATTTAGATTATTGATTATTTTCTCACTGGGGATAAAAGTGGTTAGTTCACTGAGCCAAAGAGAAGATGGGGGCACGTTCTTATGTTTCCATTTGAAAGCTATGCATTTATTATGTTAACTTTAGAAAAGTAACTACCAAGTTACTAGCTAGTTTGATGGTGCAGTAGCTGAGTTACTAAGTCAGTCACTATTTCATGTAATATCAAACCTCTGACATATGAGGGTCAGAGGTGGAGTTAAAGCGATCGCCCATCCTTCTGTCAGAATCCCGTCTGGTATAATACAGCTGTCTGCTGTGTCTGCCTCTAAAAATGCATTTAATTCAGCAATAAATATTTTTAGCCACCTAAATATATGTATTGTTTGCTATATTGTGAAGCAGACACCATCCTTTTGTGTCATGAAACATGCAGCTGGCCAAAAATCTTATTTCCCACCCTTACAATAATTACTAACCTGAACCCTTAAAATGGAGGAGGGAAAATGCTATTCATTTAGGATAATTAGTATGAAGGAGTTTTATCTGCATCATTCTGGTTATCACTTATTCAGTGCTCAAAAAAATGTATACATCTAATTTTTTTTCTGACAGCAAGGTGCTGTGAGAAGACCTGTTGTAAATTGGGGAAACATAAATAAACTAAACTGAAGTGAATTAAAAGAAAGGATGCTTATCCGCTGGAGTGACTGTGACATTGCTGCTTAGCAAGAACTGTGCTGTTGCTCCATTTATTGCTTCACTAAAATCTGAGCGGAATGTAAATAAAAGCCTAAAAGGGGCACAACTTACTGAGCAGCCTTTGCCCTTAATCCCATTTGCTCCAATGGAGCTGCTCCGTTGCCTGTTGTACTCGGAAGCTCCCATTGGAAAAGAATGAGTCACTGTGTAAATGTAAAGCAAGGTGATGCAGAAACACAGCCTGTGTGCTCAGTGTGCCTTCATGGAGGGATTAAAAAAAATGAGGAAAAGGGTGACTGGGAATTGACTTTCACCTGAACAAACACAAAAAGACTCTCAGAGTATTGGGCAGACAAGGACGACAAAATGTCTCAATTTTAGATACAGGGCGAAGAAAAGTATCGACAAAATGCTTGCAGTTAACAATCGTGAAATTGAATGATTTCAGAGGTTTCCTTTTCGGTGAATGAAAGTCACCCTGACAGCTGACAACAGTTGGACAACATGTGGAAGGCATGATGGGACATAACAACACTTTTTTCACTGCAGGCAAATGTAATTTAAAAACGGAGCAAAGGGCCTTTTAAACTCTCTCTCGCTGTGAATGCGAATATCTATGCACTCTCATCCTTTCATGTTTTTCCATGTTGACATCAAAATCAATCAATTCCCCTCTTATCATTGCAGTAGCCATTTCAATCAATCACCCCCCCCAAAAAAACAAAAAAAAAGATCTGTATGTGGAAGACACACAAACCTCTGGCGCCTTATTGATCAAATGGCCTTGATTCAGTTGGTGATGAAAGCTGTTATTTGTTCCATTTGTGGTAAAATACGTGGCTGATGGGGTGAATGACCAGGCTGGGGGTGAGATGGGGTGAGGGGGTAGAGGTCCCAAGTAGAAACATGTAGGACGAAATGAAGCCAGTGATGCGTTCAGGGGATCCATTTAGCCCTTCTCCATGTTGCTTCAAACCCCAGAGTGTCATTAAGTGATAAGATGCAGTAAATATACGGTAAATAAAAACTGATGATGGCTCTGTATTCATAAAAGACTAATGTAGTAATTCTACATCTCAATTTGCATTTTAAACAATTTTTTTATTGTAGACATTTTATAGTGAAATATTCATTGTAAAAATAAACTAGCATGATATTTTTGCCATCTAAGCCACCCGTCTGACTAGCCATCTGATTCCACAGATGACCTCCAAATCTATTTATCATCTGCACACAAAGTCATTCTCCATTCTATCCATCATCCCTGACCCCCCATCTGCATCTGGATTTTGTCGTTGCTCGCTGTCATGGTAACGGCCTCTCCGCTCTGATTGGAGGCAGGTGGCCAGGTGTGGCTGCTAATTGGGTGTTTAGGATGGAGGGAGGAGGAGAAGCTGTGCGTCTTTGCCTAGGAGAGTTGTGTGACAGCATGACCGAAAGTGTGGGTTTCAAAGGGGACGTGTAACGGGAAGCAACTAAATCAATAAGAGATGCTCAAAAGCAATCAGACACAAGAGCACCTCAGAGCAATTATTGCATTATGCGTCTCCTCTCCATGTCGTGATGTGGCACCTAAGGCTCCACTTTTCATTGCATCTATTTTAGACAAGCCTTCTATTTGTTCTCCTGCAAGTACATTGCTGGGATGTAAATAAAAGCCTCTGCTCTCTTCTCAGGTGTCCCACAAAAGAAGGAAATGCTGCTCAAAAGAATACTTTTTAAAGATTTGCAAACATTTTTAAGCAGCTCTGTACTAAATGTGGACATTTTATTTATTTTAAGACATACTTTGCCAATAGGACTTTATGACGGATACATAAAAGAAATTGTAATGTTTGATTAAGAACTCATAATAAATTACAAGCCTCACTTCTAATTCTTATCCCTTTTTTCCGACAGGGGTATAACTGGTATCTAAAAATATGACACTATTTTAAATATAGTGCCTCACTTTGTTTTACAAAATTTGATACTGCATGAAAATGTATATATTTTAAACTAAAAGTAATCCTTAAACTGAGCTGTCATGATGCAACAAGTTGTGGGTACTGAAGAGCAATGTATACTGGTAACATATGAACAAAATAAAATTGCAGGTTTAATCTTGTTAAAAATAATCTCCTGAAACATCATGGCAGAACAAAATGGACCAGAGATTGAAAAGACAAGAAGATCCTCAGAGAACATGGGCGCATCAGAAGTCCCATTCACACATGGAGCCTGTCACAAATTGAATGTTGTAACCTTTTCCGTGCTCCACGCAGGAATACATTCAAATCTGTTTCTACTTTGTTCCTACGGGATTGGCTCCCTGAAATCTTTTATATGTACAGCTTCCTCATGGGAAGATGTCGGTGCATTCAGATGTTATGTGGTACACAGCTGATTACACTGTCTGAAGAGACTGCAGTCGCTGTCGGAGGATGCAGAGCTATTCAAAGATTTTTTAGCACAGGAGTGTAAACAACCATGAAAATACTTTTTCACTTAACTATTCCTAAAAATGTGAAAGACATGCTATTAAAGTGATGGCTTCTGATGTTCTTCAGGAAATGCTTCCAGCATCTTACCTGCTTATTTAAACCTCTCCCTCTCCCTACACTAATTAAAGTGTAAAACAGCTGGATGTGACACAAGACTGAATGAAGCCCTGAATGTTGAGAGGAGGATGAGAGGGAAACGGCCAAAGCACGGCGTTAGAAAACTGCAGCACAGAGTGGTACCTTGGGTTATAGTCTCTATGACAACTGTTCAACATGGTAGATAGGAGGCATGCCTCTTCTGTCCAACC